GGAAAAGAGTCCTCGCCTCCCTGTTGAATTCCCTCTGCTACGTGCGGGCGCCTAGTGATCTTCTGGTTTCTGTTCCCTGTCCCAGCAGCTGCTGGGCAGGCCAGCAGGGGCCCCACGCCCCACCCGGGCCCCGGCACCAGAGGGCCTGGGGTGAAAGCTGGGGCCGGCTCACGGACACCTCGTTTCACCAACCACAGCCCATCAGCAGTAGCTCCTTAAGCCTCCTCATCTCCTTCCTCCAGTTTCCAAGAAAGTCTGCTCCACTCACTCACACGCACTCACACAACCGAAATCCTCCACCACACGCTTGTTCACAAATGAGTGTCTGCCCTTCCAAAGATCTGGTCAAGGGAAATCAGCCTGTTAGCAGCTGTGCTAATCTCACCTTCCCTTCCTTACGTCCAACAATCTGGTGTCTGGGCGGGTTGAGTCTTCCAGGGTGAAGAAGGCAAGGCCAGCTGGCTCCCCCAGCCTGCAAGCCACTCACCGCCAGTAAGGCCAGAAGGCAGATACAGTCCAGGAGACAACCGTCGGGTTTGCCTCGACCCTTCCTTTCCCTCTGAATTCCATCAACCGCCATGTACCGCTTCACAGTATTAATTGGCATCGAGCCTCAGACTCTCCCACCCGTCGGCCTGCTCACCCCTTCCCTTGGAAACAGCCAAACGTCATCAAAGAGGCACTAAGCACAGGAAGCATTATCCACCTGTCCTTCCCGAGGCTGCAATTAGATGGTTCTCCTTGACCTGTCCTTTTGCATTTTTCCCCCTTCGTCTTTGCTATGCTTCTTTATTTTGAGCCAGTGAAGAAAAGATGATGCTCTAGGTTATTTGTGGTCGAAACAAGGCTGAGGTTGGCATCCCTTTACTTGGGAGCTTGGTCCTAGGGACGGGCAGGCTTTCAGTCACCCGACTGGCCAGGGTGACTCAGAGCCGAAGGACGGGCCGGGAGGTCCGGGCAAGTGCTAAGGAGCGCACGAGGAGTGGGGCCTCTCCCACTGGGGTCTTCTGGTCCCACAGCTCTGTGCTTGGGACTAGAGGA